AGACTCCAGCCCTGACCATGAACCAAAGGCAGTGTACCACAAAAATAGATGACTAGCTATAGCAAATAGCAATATAGCTATTATTAGCTAGCTATACCACCCAAGACCATGCCTGATCCTTTCCTGACTGGTTAAATAGACTTGGCATGGCATGAGCTCTATGAGTTAATTATGCATGATAACATATTTGAATGATGCTTTATTCAAGTCAACGTGATGAACTCTGATACTAGCCTCATGTCGACTATTTAACATTGCTGAAAGAGGATCTACCAAATGGATGTAGATAAATAATAATAATAAAAAAAGATTAAACTCTGTCTTCCAAAAAAAGGTTGGAATCAGAATCAGAAATATCTTTATGTATGTTTTAGCAAGGAACAAGGAATTTGTCTTAGTGACAGAAGCTTCCACTGTGTACAGACAGAATGACAACGACAAGACAGATAATAAAAAAGTTTGACCACCCTACATATAGTTTGGGTCACACACACACAGGTGAGACGGGGGTGCTTTCATTACGCACACACGCAAGGTCTCTCGCTCTCTCCCTCTCTTCCGTGCGCGCGCTACACGGTGTGGAGCACAGTATGTTCTGTCTCGCATGCGCGTTAGATTCCGGGAGATTTGAACTAATTTCAGGGAGCCGCTATCAATAGAGACTTGGGATGTCTGCGTACCATATAACTCCCACAAGTGCATACAATTCGACACAACTACACAAGCATTTTTTAACCTTTTTAACCGAACGTTAACGTTACTCTGCCAACAGCCTATTGTCTAAATTACCGAGCTAACAGAGCTACGTAAACAGAGCGAACATGAGAGCATCCGACTGCAGCCTAATGGAATAATCTCCCGATCAAACTCCACTTCCCGAAAGTTATAAACTGCTTCCGGAACCCAGTTAAGGTACAAAAATCTATTCAACAAAAATAGTGATGCAGTTAAGTGTTTTTTCGCTCAGCCGAGCCCTCTCTGTTGCTGTGTCTGTGGAGCAGCCTGTGTCAGTCACCTCTTCCTCCTGAACGTCAGTCACTCACTCAAACTCACTCATCCGTGCATGCACTGCGGTCTCGTGAGGAAACGCAGCTTTTTGATATAAAGTTTTTCTTGTTCCCGAATACAAATATTTTTTTAAGTATTTGTTCGAAATAACTATTCGTAAAAAACACGTTATTTGTACCTTTCCGAATACCGTATTCGGGTTCGGCTCCACCCCTAATATATATATATATATATATATATATATATTTTATCTACATAATCATGTCTATTTCTATTTACATGTATATGCCAGTTTTATTTAAATTACTTTAATGTATTATAATGAGTTTGCTATAAACAGTTCAACTGTTCATCAGCACTGTGAAGGCCTCATGGACACCTCAACAAACTCGTCTCCATACAGGCGTGATGACTCCGACCAGATGGAACTGGATTAATATTGTAAATGTTCTGATCCAATCTGACTTCTGACCTGTAATGTTGCCTGAATCATAATCATACACTGTTCGTTCGTTGGCCAGAGGAGAAGTGGCCCTCCGACTGAGTCTGGTTTCTCCCAAGGTTTTTTTTCTCCATTCTGTCACCTGATGGAGTTTTGTTTCCTTGCCACTGTTGCCTTGGCTTTTTGCTTAGTTAGGGACATTTAATATTCAACAATATCATTGATCTGCCTTACTTCAGGTGGACGATGACGCAATTTTCTTCTAGAAACAAACTTGTTATATTGTTTTCATGTTATCACTGTGAAGCTGCTTTGATACAATCTGTATTGTAAAAAGCGCTATATAAATAAAGGTGACTTGACTTGACTGCATTTTCCGAATTCTGGACATTTCTCTGTAACAATAGAATAAAATAAAATAAAGTTAATGATAAAGTACAATTTATAAAAATATAAAAAATAGATAATAGACCATATATGTATGTACAGTTATCATGTTATATACAAATGCAAGGGAATGTAAATAAGAGGTATGGTGTGCTAAATAAATATAGGTAAGGAATAATTGACCTCAGGCCAATGAATTATCAGAAAAATAATGCACACCCAAGGTGGTAATGTGGTCACAATGCGAAGCCACATTATTATTTCTAACAATTATTATTTCTAATAATTCAACAGAGTCAATTATTCCGCTTATACTATGGTTACCACACCTCAAAATATTGATCAGATGATATATTGGTTAGGTTTTGCCCTTAAAACACTCTTGTGTGTATAATTTATTTCTTACGCATTAGCTCTTTCCCCGCCATTGACGAGTTATCTCGTCATTTGTGAGAATACGCTTCCCTGCCATTGACGGGTTTTTATGGCTTTCAGTGTTTTCACTGCAAAACGCTAGGGGGCGCTATGACACATCTCCTGAACGAGTATAGAATCTCCAGATCAAAACGCAGGCAAAAAAGAAGCAGAAACAAACAATCTCATATGTAAGCAGAGCAGATGCATATGAAAAATAATGCGATCATCAACAATAAACAGCATATAAATCGAAGCCTAATGTTTCCGACTGAAATATCGACCCAGGAAGGGGTTAGGACTGGGCAAGCATTAGGAGTGTTGATGGACTTGATCTGCATCTATGCTTTGATCATCGCACTGAATCTGATCCAGACGTAGTCTTTGATAATACTTGATTTTCGCAGCTTTTTGCTCAAAAGGTTGCTTTTTTTTTTTTTAGCAAACTTAACCCACATTTAAGTGTTGATAAAAAAAAGTGCATGAAGCTAGAATAAAACAGATTGTTTTGTTTAAAAGCAGAGGGTCTGTTGTTTATTTTGATATATTGCATGTTCAGATATTCATACAACAAAATATTCTCAGGGCCATAAAACTTTTTTGTGAAAATGAACAAAAACGCTGGCGGTGGCTGGCAACTTTTTTTTTTTTTTTATCCTGGCGGGGAAATAGTTAATCCCAGGGCTCCGTTGCTAATTCCAAAATGTCATTTTAGAGCTAGTAACAGAGGCTCAGCCACTGATAACAGTCCAATGCAGTTATTTATGCAGTTATAAAGAGAGAGAGAGAGAGAGAGAGAGAGAGAGAGAGAGAGAGAGAGAGAGAGAGAGAGAGAGAGAGAGATTTAAAGCCCAATTTATACTTCTGCGTCAAACTCACGCTGTAGCTATGTCATAGGCTGTGTGTTGCACACGTAGCCTACGGCGTACCCTGAAGTGCACCTCTCCAAAAATGTAACAACGCGTCAATTCTACATGAACCGCAAGCTCTGTGATTGGCCTGCTAGAACCCCTCCCTCAGGTTTCACATGCTCCCTCTGCATGTGTAATTGCACGTCAATGCGGACAACGACGCAGAAGTATTAATGAAAACCGGCGCGTAGCCTACAACGGCGTAGGTCCGACGCAGAAGTATAAATAAGCCTTAAGCGTGTGAATTACCTGAGTCTGTGCATCTCTCAACTGTGTTCGGCAGCAGCATCTCTAATAGCGAAACTGTATGTTTATCTGTTCCAAGAACAGCGCCGTTATTACCTTGCTAGTGAGAAAGTTTTTAAACTCATTTAAGTTGTTAAACTATTTTACTGATAAAATTGTCAGAGCAGCTCTGACAACATGCTTCTGTTCGAGTGTGTGAGTGTACTGTATGTGTGTGTGTGTGCGTTTGACTGGGAGAGAGAGAGCGGGAGAAAGAGAGTATATGCTCTCCGTACATATTAAAACATAATTTTGGGGCAAAAACATGGAATTAAACATGGAATAATTTGTTGTTTTTAACCTATTATTTACTATATTTATTTACTTGGTTAGTTGTTGCCGTGGGTTTTGGTTGTTTTGCTGTTGTTGGTTGTAAGGACTTTGAAATAACTGAAATCAATTGAGAGGTGATATGGAACTGTAATGCGATCAAGACCTGCCTGGAACTACTTTAGCCGTGCGTTTCCCTGAAAATAACTGCACACCTTAGAACGTTCATCAACCAATCAGATTCAAGCATTCAATAGTATAAATAGTGTTCTGTATTGCACATAATGAGTCCCTGTGTTCCAGGTTCAAGTTAAGTTCTATCGACTCGACAACATCTGTAACATTCTGTCAGTTACCACAGAAAATACATTGCCGTTCAAAAGGAAGGGGTCTGTATGATTTTTTGAATGTTTTTTTAATAAAGGACGATAACTAAAAAGACAACGATAAAGATATAGTTTAAAATCGTTCTCAATATTAAATAATAGCAGAGTTCACACCACAGCTGTAAGGATAACGGCAGAGAGAAACAATATCGTTGGAATCACTTTCAGAATGATTTTATCCAGCTGATGAACGATAAAAACATTGACAGCCAATCAGAATCCATCCTGCTGTAACGAGCTCGAGCATTTAACGAGAGACAAGCACTCGCTTAGAATAATCAGAACAATATCATCTGATAGTGTGAACGCTAATATAGACTGTTATAGTTATCTGTATAGTTCTTGGTGTGAACGGACCTTTATGCTGACCAAGGCTGCATTTATTTGTTCAACAATACAGTAAAAACTGTAATATTGTGAAATATTATTACAATTTCAAATAAATAAATAAATTTTTTTAACTAATCCAAAATATTTATAAAAACTAGTAAATAGTATCTCAATTATATTACAATAACACTGCAGGTGTGTAGTATCTGTGTTGTATCTCATGTCAGCCCTGTGTTGACAGATCAGCACAGAACTCAAGCATGTAAATTGATGTGTGGTTTGAGTCGCTGAATTAAGGATTCACTGCGAAGTGTATGTAACAGTGCTGATGGGTGTTTAGCAGAGAACGCATGGTGTGCAGGCTCTTTTATTGGTAAAATGGTTTACAGCAGCAGTTACAGAGCACCCTACTGAGGGCTCACTGTCGTCACAGCATGATACTGTCTCTGAGTGTTTGTATATGTGGTTATGGGAGGGGAAAATGGAGGAATTTATTGAAAAGGATTTTATTCTTTAAGAATGGAGAAATAAGTCTATATATCTTTTCTCTCTCTCTGTCTCTCTCAGGTGTTCGAGTTGGTTCAGTTCAATCTGATGCCAGCAGCAGTCCCACAGAACATGGTCATATGGGTCAATCTCACCCCACGTACCCCATAGGACCACAGGTGAGAACACACACTTTTTCCCCTCACACCATTCATTAACATCAACATGAAATGGCATTCGCATCCCATTTTTCATCTGAAATGGGACATTTCTGAGTGATAAAATTAGTACAGGGTTTGATATTATCCATCACCAACTGATTGGATCATGAAAAGCGGGTTACATACTTGAATGGAGCCAGACTGAATGCGAGTTTGCAAAATTTGGCTAGCATTTTTCAAAAGTTACTCCTCAACACTGGCCTGTCCGACTAACTAAAAATAACATTGCTACTAACTTAAAGGGATAGTTCACCCAAAAATGAAAATTCTGTCAGTAATTACTCAACCTCATGTTGTTACTCACCCTCAAGACTTTCGTTCATCTTCGGAACACAAATAAAGACATTTTTGATTAAATCTGAGAGCTGTCTCACTCCTCCATAGGCTTCTATGTAATTGAAACCTGCCGGCCCAAAAAGTAAATAAAAACATCGTTAAAATAGTCCAAGTGACTACAGTGGCTCAACCATAAGTTTATCAAGCGACGAGAATACTTTTTGTGCGCAAAAAACAACAAAAATAATGACTTTATTCAACTATTCGTTTTCTTCTATGGGCCTCAGAGTGAGTTCACGTAGTGTAACAGCGCAATGCTACGTCAGAACGTAGGCTCACTATTGGCCAGCATCACACTCTTGACCAGCGTCGGCCAATAGTGAGCCTACGTTCTGACGTAGCGCTGCGCTGGTACACTACGTGAACTCACTCTGAGGCCCACATAGAAGAAAAGTATTCTCGTCGCTTGATAAACTTATGGTTGAGCCACTGTAGTCACTTGGACTATTTTAACAATGTTTCTATTTACTTTCTGGGCCGGCAAGTTTAAATTACAATAGAAGCCTATGGAGGAGTGATTAATTTGTGTTCCGAAGATGAACGAAAGTCTTACGTGGTTAGAACAACATGAGGGTGAGTAATTACTGACAGAACTTTCCTTTTTGGGTGAACTAACCCTTTAATGTAGCTAGTGTAGTTACAAGCTACTTTTTACAAGAAATAGCATAAGTAGTGACAAAATCTGCCATTAGTGGTCGACCGATATCTATCACTAAGGCCATTGGCGATAATTTGGCCAATAAGTGTTGAAAGCGGGATCTTTATTTTGACAGATGTAACTTCTATTTTGACAGTTCTGAGTACTTGCAGCCAGCTCCGAGTTCCTATACTTTTGTCTACATTAGTTTACTGTGTTAGTTTAATGAATTATTAAACAGAGCTGTTACGCAAAGACAGTAAGCGTAGTATAATGCATTACAGTTTTTGCCTTTCTATTATTAGTAATAGAAAGGCAAATGCTATAATGCTCTCAAACACCGTCGGCATTCAGCAATTATCAATCATCATTTAAACAAGTCTTTGTATGTCTAATAAATATTTAATCTCACAAACTTTAGTGAATCCAGCTGTTAGATCATATCAAGTGTGCATTTGTAGCCAGCAATATTTAGATGAACTTTTTTGGCCTTCTTCACTCAAAAATGAAAATCTGTCATCATTCACCCAACCTAATGTTTTTCCAAGTCTGTATACTGTAACCTTTCTTTTTTTCTTTCTGTGGAACACAAAAGGAGACATTTTAAATAGTGTATGTATTTATATTCCATGCAATTACATTAAATGCACAATACATGTTTTCAACTTTTTTTTTAAAAAGCACCAAAAAACAAAAGCACCCTAAAAGTATTATACTTTTTTTTTTAAGTCCATATGACTGATGCACAGAAATGTTGTTATTCACTGATAATCTTTCTCTCTATTGAGTCAGTGAGTTGAATTTGAGAACTCAATTCAACTAATTCAGACTGGTTTTATGAGTCAGAATCAAACCAATTGACTAACAATAGTGTTACACACTTTGAGATGTTAATGAGAAAACGAAGAATGTATAACTCCTTAACTTTTAGTCTGTTTCTCACACATATCTCAAATGGCTTCTGAAAACTTGAAATAGATGGTGGACACAAGTCATATAGACCACTGTTTTGATACTTTTAAAAACCTCATTCCCATTCATTAAAACTGTATATGGAGAAGCACAGACAACTCTTCACTTTTTTTTTTCTTCTGCAGTAATAAAGTTATACGTTTTTGGAATAACAAGATGGTGATTTTCAGTCAACTATCATTTTAAGGAAATAATAGGAAAAAACATTTTGATGACTTTACGATAACAAGGAGCATACCATCCATCCCAATACCTAACCAATGTCCCAATAAAACAAGTAGACACCCACATACTCACAGAAAATCAACTGTGGTGTTTTATAGGATGAGTAGAACAAACAAGCTCTTTTAAAAGATGGAGAATGATCATTTTGTGTTGCCATATCCAGCTCAACACGCCACAGCGATGTCCAAGCCCTTGTCTCCTCGTTCCCCTGAGCTCTGCCTTAATAGATGAACCCTGTCAGGACAGTCCCACAGAAACAAACACTTTTCAGCCACACTGCTCTCTCTCTGCGCCATGGCCAATTCCCTTGTTTCTGGATCAATATGTTTTGATGGATTCTCACTCTAGAGACGGATATTGTGTGCACTGCCATTACGGAACTGGATCAGTAAGAGGGCAGTTAGCCCTACATGGGTCCAGCTCTCCTGTGCCTCTGGCTTCATTCGCACACACTGCTATCAGTCTGATTACGAGTAATCTTTCAGCGTTTCCTCCGCTGAGCCGCTCCCTCAGTTCTTATTAGAAAGAGGAATGGGATGGGGGGGGGTTTGGGAAAAGAAAAGGGTAATTTAATCCCAAAAGCCAGATCAAGAAGGTATGGCGTGTTTCTTATGGTTCAGAGGTTCTTGGAGCCTCATACATTCTGTACTGATTCTATTAAATTTAAATTTAAAATCTAATAAGTCTTTTTTTAATGATTTCTCATGTTTTATCATGCCTTGGATGGTTTAATGTCAAAATTAACATTCCTTAAAGTCCCCCTGTGGTGAAAATCAAGCTTTTAATGTTGTTTATATGTCTATGTGGAGTGTTTAATATGCTTTAAGACAAACCATGTGCAAAATCATAAGTCCAACACCATTGCTGAGTATTTTCTCCTTAAAACTGCAATGATTTAAAGACAGTCTCAAAAACACGGTTTGAAATCGCTGGTGTTTCTGATGTCACAAACTACCTTGTAACCAATCAGGTCAACATGTGATCGTCATCGAGTGGATCTCTGAGCTGGTGCGAGTGAGTGGAGGCGGGGCTAATTAGCATATTCATAGAACAATGTATACTAAATGAGGCAAGCGTGCAAAGTTACATTTCAAGCTATTTTAAGGCATGACACTTAAAAAAAACTTTTAAATATGTCAATTTTGGTGATCAAAGGTGAGTTTTAAGGGATAAAATGATTGACTACTTTAACATTAACATAAGTTAATTAAAGGGGTCATATAATGCCATTTTTGTACAAGCTAATATGATTCTTTAGGGTCTAAATTAAAAGTTTGTATTGTAATATACTTTAATTAAAAATTCTCATTAGTATTGTAAGAAAACACTTATTTTACCTGGTAAAAAACAGCTCTGTTTTCAGCACGCCGTTTCAGTGCATATGACTTTAAATGATCATGAGCTTTGCTCACTCCGCCTCTCTGTTCTATGCGTACACCGTTTGTAACACAATAACACAATAACCATAACACGTTGTTCAGTATAAACGTGGGATTATGCATTATATTGAGAACGTCATACATAGAAAACATGCCGTAATGTACCCTGAGTGTAAACCTTAGCCGCATTCATTGTGAAGGGTGCAGCTAGCGATTTACAAGGATTAATATAAATATTAATATAAAGTTTAATAAAACCTTACACTCACTTCAGTTCTTCTGGAGCAGCTGCAGGAACACAAATATCTGGTACCGATCTTTTTTCAGGAGCAGCTTCTTAGCAAAACCAGCTTTATACCTCCTCGTTTATAAAGCAGTCTGGTGTGTGAAATGATTCGCTCAAACATGAAAGCATTGACGTTGCTCGTGGGGAATATTCCCTTCGAAAACAAACTCAGCCACTGCGTCTTTGGCGGTTCGGATTTAGGAACATTAAAATGACTGCTGTGTTCGTTATTACACCCAAGAACAGAACAACACAATCGCTTAGACGCCATTCTGCTCATAGACAGCGCTCCAGCATATCAACAATGACCGCGCCGGTCCGCGCAGACTATGATTGACAGCTAGCTCACGAGCGAGGGCGGGTCTGTGTTGAAACCCTTCTGTCAATCAACAATCGTGGGAGGGGCGTGCGAGCTTGTGACGTCATAGGCTCGAACGGCTCGATTTGAGGCAGGGGAAAACATATAAGGAGATTAAAACAAAAACACTGGATGGATTTTTATCATTTTATTATGGCTGTGTACAGACACTGCCAACACACATTTCAGTACAATCAACTTGTAAAAGTGCATGTACCATTATATGACCCCTTTAACATATATCTATTTTTTTATTTTTTATTCACGTGCCTTGTCGTATTGTGCAAAATTTTTCAAAGTGACTTGCTAAACCGACTTTATACTGACTGACGTCACCATGCCCTCCAACACCCACTTTTCACGATTCGGTTCAAACCTGATGGATAAGATCAAGTTCTGCGCGACATTCTCTGAATTAATATCCAGTTTAACTTAAAAATACATTGTCAACTCAATATTGAAGAATAATAGCAAAAAAACAAACAAACACCAAAAACAAACAAACACACTAAAAAATACCAAAAGCTAACATGGTATTTTCATGTTTTTTATTAATACATTTTACCATAGTAATGCCTAGTTGTTTTAACATAAACCAGGGTTTGCCAAACTGGGGTTCATGAAATAACTGCAGGGGGTTTTTAAATTGAAGAAAAGCTAAGAAACTAAAGCATAATTAAAATGAGTAATGTAAAATAAAAACAATCAAAACGAAACACTTACTAAAAAGGATTTGACAACCAGCATCAGAGAACTGTAAACATT